ATCATTTCACAAAACAAAGTAGATCAGGCACAATTTCAAAAGAACTACATCAGGACTTCATTTAAACATTTTCAGATTTCATGCTGAGTATGAAGATTATATCAAGAAGTAAACATAACCGAAATCTCATAATTAATTTGATCGATCCATCATTTCATCTATGGAAAAAAACTGTAGAAAGAGCAGGTGCTATATATATATTCAAAAGAGAATGAAAGTAAAAGAGAGCTGTACCATGATGTAAGTAGAGATAGCCGAGTCGCCATGTGTAAATGTGATCACCGGCCTTGAGCTCCTCTTTCTTGATCTTGTTAAAAAGCGCCATCTTCTTCTTCTTCTTCTTGAGTTTTTAGCCAATATTATTCGACTATTTTTATCCCACCTTCAGCATCTTTAATCCCTTAAATATGCCAAAGTTGAGCATCTTTACTCTAGCTGAAAAGCCATTCTTCTACTGTTCTCCAAACTGAAAAGGGATTGCGTCTAACTCTCAAGCAACTGCGTTTAGTTCAGCCTTTTTGAGAAAATTAGGGGATTACTCTAAGTTTGAGCGACTAAAATTCTGCAAAAAATGATCATATTAAAGAAGTTATGGATAATATGAATATCCATATTATCCGCCGGTTAACCCATTTTTTATTCGTATTAAATCTAGATCGGGTGCGATAATTTGTCCGCTTTTGCATTATCTGTTTTTGGCCCACCCATACCTGACATGACCCGCCCGTTTGACACCCCTAGTAGGTATGGTCCAAGAAAAAGTAAGAAATATAATTCCAAGTTTAGTCTTTTTCACTTCCTTTTTAATCTAGTTTCTTAATTCTCTCTTTTGTATGCCAGCATTATTCGAAAGATATTAAGTCACAGTTATTAAACTCATTTTCTTTCAACAAGATTGATCACCTATCAAGTCACATGTTAGACAGTTTTACTATTCAGAGAGCAAAAGCTGTAAAAATCATTTACAGTTTATTTTGTGGGAATAAAGACGATTTCTTGGGTAAATCGGTTTGCTACAGTTCCTCTTTTGTCTCTACAGTTCCTTCTTTTTAATTTAATGGACATCCACTTTGATATATCTGATATAAGTCCGAAAACAATATTTTTAAAATTTATATATGTCAACTAATTTGCCGTAGCCCGTTTGGCTAAGCTGCAAAAATCAGCTGATTTTGAGAAGTGTTTTTTCTTAAAAGTACTTTTAGTGAGAAATAATTTTTGTTTGACTAATTAATTTGAAAAGTACTTCTCAGTAGCAATTAGTGTTTGACCAAGTTTTTAAAAACTGATTCTAACTGTATTTTTCTCAAAAATGCTTTCAAAAAATGCGTTTTGGAGAGAAACTACTTTTTTTTGGTTCTCCAAATCTCAGAAGCACTTCTTTTCTTCCAAAAGCTTGACCAAACACTTCAACTTTGAAAAAATCACTTTTTGAAAAAATATGCTTCTAAGATTGGAGAAGCTTGGCCAAACAGGCTATAGAAGTGATAGAAAGATGAACCAAAAGTTGAAATGTTTATGCTTTTTACAAAAATGAATATTCAAATGAAGTACTCATGTCAAATTGCTTGAAAATTTCCTCATGCTTGCTGCAATCATCCTGTAAGTATATAAATTTTATTAAAATTAAATTCATAAAATAATTTGGACTATATTTTAAATTTAAGATAT